CCGTGATCATTTGCTAGGAAGCAAATAGTGTTTGCTTTTATTTATAACTTTTTTTCACCAACTATATTAAAATAAATGCATGTTACATTAAATATACTGATTATTGTCTTTTGTCGTGTGAAAATACCCAATTTTTTGTTTGTTTGACTGTACTTTTTAACAATTCGTGACGCCTATTATAGAACCAAATTGAGGCCTTTCACTTTTCCCTGACGCCCAAATTAGAGAGTGCACGGTATATGTAGGTTATTTGTGCGTTTCTTTGTGTATTTTGTCCTGTTAAGTTTTAAACAACCAGAGGCGGCAGCAAGAAATTTTGCTCGGGTCTGCTCACCAAACTTACCAGGGGCGCTTCTTCTTAAAAATTTGAAATATAGACACTCTAAAAGCTATTTCCTGTATTTTGAGGGGCAAATTTTGCTGGCACGAAGGGTTTCAGCTTGGAGGTTTGAAGGGGCGACACCCCCAACATTTGTTCGAGGGACCGCCCTTCTACCCCCCCCCCCCGTGCCACCGACACTGACACCCAATTGTTACATTTAGTGAGTATTTTAGGCAACCCTCTCAGTTGCATGAGAGTTATCTTCGAGTGAACATCGTATAGTTTCCTTCGTGATTTCCAAATTTCCATAGTCGTGTTCATAAACATATGAGTAAAAACATAAAGGCGTTCGTTAACTGCCATGGGCTAAATTGCGAAGGTGTGGGTTTCAAATTCAGAATGCTCACACACTGTGACACTGTCTGCTAAAATGCCAATACTCAGAAATTTGGTATATACATATAAACACCAAATATCTTTGAAAAGAAATTACTAGTATTTCTTGCAATATATTTTTCTCCCAGATATTTGAAAAACCTGAGTCAATCACAGGATGTGAAATCACATAGAAATATGAAAGTATCAATAGAAATAATCACTACATACTTAAAAACTGTCAAAGGACGCTAACATAGATGTCATTATAAACAAATTACCATGCAATTATAGATACTCATCAACAAATTGACACCGGTTACAAACTTAATAATTTAGTGTGTCCTTTATTAGTGGTTAAACTGTACTTATTCTACTCTCAAAAACTTTTCTTGAATAATATTCAAGACAAACAAGCAAATTTACAATATTTTCTATTTGAGACAGCTGCTTTTTAAAAAAAAATTCAACTCTTGGGTAATAATATCGTTACTCATAAATAAGTCTACTGTTGAGTATGTTTGCTTTCAGATGTTTTTGCTTGTTGGGGAGTTTCGCGATTTAGAGACGGAAAATGCCTGGGCTAAATCATTTGCTGAGGGATGGCCGATCAGGTATGTGCACTCGATCTTGCAGCACATGGGCCTAAAGGCTTTGGCAATAAAAAAATGACTGCGCAAAAGTGGGTTCAAGGTCTTCACTTTTTGATAAAATAAGCACGGTTTTCTCCCTCGCTTCAAGCGAGTAATTCGAGCTCCCCCTCACTGGTAAACAATAGTTAAGTCCCGTACTTTGAACTACGATTTGATTTGTGTTATTATTGCTGTAACCACAGGGAGCCCAGGAACTATAATCAACTGTACGCACTCCTATGAGCAGCGGGGGTGGGGGTGTCGGCTGGTATTTGTTGTAAGAATAGACAAGGGATGAAGGCTCCAACCAGCTCATATTTTTTAAACTGGAAAAAACAGACGAACAGAATGAAAAATAAAATCTATAACAAATACCAGGTTGAAGATTATTAGTTGCTCTTTCAAATTTCGCCAAAGCCTTATCTATAGTTTACCTACACAAATTGACTCCATTTATGAATAATTAACGGTTTGCCCGAACGCACGGCCCAGTTGAAGGTGTGGCCTGTTCAGAATGCGTCAACAACCAATCATAAGACTGGTTACGAACCACATCGAGGATTAGACTCGGTTAGCCTCACTCAACTGGTTCGTAACCAATCTTGTGATTGGTTCTTGAAAAATGCTGTATCTCTCACCCCCTTGGTCATTGTCGCCGATTTTTCGTCGCCGGATTGATTGTCGTCCCAAATGTAGGTTCCCCGCGCACCTCTAAATAAAAATAACCCGTCTAACCGCTGGGCTAAATTAATGATATCGCTAAAAAAATATGTGAGTGTATACATGGCGAAAGCCATATAGACTTGTCCCCCTTGCAAGTAACATCTATGATGGGCGGAGAAATATAGACTTGTCTGTTTGCCTAAAAACAACAACAACAACAATATACATTATAAACATTGTAAACTCGTATTTCAACCTAAATTATTATATGGCATGTGGGGTGGCACTTATATTTTTGGCGAAACTGGCTTGAGTGGTATATTTCAAAAATGGCTAGTCCAGGTTTACTCATGTGATCCCATCTTGTACAGAAATATATGTCGTTGTTGTTCGCATTGAAAAAACAAAATAAATACGTTTTTGGCCGATAGAGGTCGTGCAAGGTTATCGCGCATGCCCTGTGTACATTTCCGGTTTTAGCTGGCAATCGGTGAAAGTCAGCGTAATATTGTAATATTAGATGCCTGAAATTGGTATATAGAATCATGATTAATAGCTTATTTATTATAAATAATTCGGGGTAAGTAAATGAAATATATTATTATCGGTTTCCAGTAAATAAATATGGTGTTATTGGCTGGTATGTGTTCTCCTTACGGATGTTTTGTGGGCGTCGATCGCCGCTGTTTCAATCATTCTCTATTTCACAGATTAATCACTTCCTGATTTTCACGAAAAAAATAGCTTAGTTACAAGTACATCATTTACAGTTTCATATCCTGTCATTATTTATTTTTTCACATGATATCGGCAAGCCCCCACCACTCCCGAAAATGGGTAGTTGCCGAGATTTACACAGTACCAGCTGTTGTTCATTGTATTTGTAAGTTTTCGTTTGCTTTTTCTGGACTGGGAACTAAAGAAAATGTCGAAATCGATAATCACATTAGCCGACTATATATTATCATGTTAACAAACAGAGTAGACTAGGAGTGTATGTAGTGTTGTCTAGTTGAGCAATAAATGACCAAAACATTGTCACTGAGTTTCGTCGTTGGTTATATGAGAGAATTGTCCGCAGATAAAGTACCTTCGCTGCAGTTTTGAAACGTAACTTTATTTTTTTACATTTCTTTTAAAATTGTCTGTTAACAGTCCAAGCTAATATGTATGTTTTATTAGGATGACATCCATCCATTGTATCTCAGGCCACTGTAAAATTGAGTAAAATTATTGTTGATTAAATTAAATTATTATTTTATCTTTTTTAACTTGGCCTATCGTTACTGTGCTTTGTCCTGGTAGCTGTTGGTTCTATCTTACCCCATATATTAGGCCTTCATGAGCCAGGGTTTGAGTCTGTATTTTATTACATTATCACAATGACGCATGCTAGTGGATTACTTTATTTGCTGGAATGTTATATACTTATGTTTGTGTACGCTTAATTTTTACTTCTAGGAATTTTTTCACAATATGATGATTTTATGGCATTTGTTAAAACAAAATTTGTCACTATCATGGAGAAATGTTCACTACTACAAAATTTAGTGATTTTCACTGATTTGCAAATTTGTCGTTTTCGAAATCAAAGTGGTTTATGTTGAAAAAAACATAACGTCAGTAAGCTGCTACCTACAGTAGTTTACATGTACATATGCATTTCCTATTGCTGTATTTGATCTGTTAGAATCACACAAAATCGAAAAATAGTATTGATTGTATGATGAGTCATTAAATGTTGTAATATTTGCTAAACTTACAGGGGTTTCCCAAATAGAAGGCGACTACAGGCAGTCATCAATATAGTCTCATTAGCCACCTACCTTCAAGTTCTCATATACTATGTGTAAAATAATATGAGTTGGAATCCTACTTAATTGAGCCTTCTAATCAAAATTTCAGGGAAAATCTTAATTAACCAGAGATGTAGATAATTATTTTGATTGATGGTTACACTAAGAAAGCTGGTGACAAGTTTTGTAAATTGTTTTGTAAATCCTATATATATTGGTATGTTTGTAGCTGGGCACAGTTAGTGTATAGTCTGGTGTTTTGACCAAGTAGTGTAAAATACTTAATTTTTACTATTTTCGCTGAAGGAATGATTCAGTAAAAATAAAATCCGGCCAATTTGCAAACTCGCTAGCGAATTGGCTAACTGCTTGGGTTTTGACTAAACGGTTGGCAATCGAATCTCTCTGACGCCGTCCTATGGTCACGCCCACTCTGAATGAATCTATATAACAGTATTGAACGGTTGGCATGCTTTAGTTGGATGGTGATTTCGCTTTTAAATATACCAGGGAAAGTGTTCTATTTTCTTCGTGTAATGAGTTGTTCGTATACAAGGGATTGTCCCCACAAAAACTATGAATGAATTCAATTTTATTAGCGGTTGGTTTAATGTTACCCCAACTGGATGTGAAAATTTATTTTCTCCCTGATTTATAGGAAACTGCTTCTCAACTTGTCTCTTTACTTAGTTTCAATCAGTGTTCAAGATGGCTACCCCATATAGTAAATATCGGTGGAGTAATCGCATTTATCATATTATCACTTGTATGCCAGCTGACTGTGGCCATTCTCAGGCCTCGCAAAGCAAACCATTCAGGGGAGTCCAGACATGTACCAGGCTATGTAAAAGCATACTATGTTTCTCTAATGTGATATAGACTCGCTCAGAGTGGATGCGGCCACATGTCAGCACCAGCGAGATTCAAAAGCCAACTGTTTAGTCAAAACCCAAGCAGTTAGCCAATTCGCTAGCGAGTTTGCAAATTGGCTGCCCCAATACTTCTGAGACTTGCTGTAATGTGCCCATAAAGCACAGGTACTGAAAAACAAGCGTCATCACAAACAAATGCTGTGGGGAATGTTGACAAACATTTTGATTTGTTAAGAAGGCTGAATTAAAATCATTGAATGCAGAGTCTTGAATTAACGGACTTTATGAAATTTTCAGATTCTGAAACTCAATCACAATCAAATCCATGGAAATGCTCAATAATATTCAGCTATTTGCAAAAAACTGACCCTGGTGAATAACTTTATTAATTGCTCCTTTATGCCACATACAACATATGTCAAAGCTACAAACAAAATATATACGATAATGAAACTTTAAAATACGAACATCTAATATACTCAGCTGTAATTTATAAGCACATACATTTACTAACAAAGCAACTACAGTAGTTAATGTCAGTGTGTTTGCTGAATATCTACATGTAAGCCCAGAGCAGACAATTTGAACATTTTTTAGGGCTGCTCAAGGTGTTCTTAAACTCTGTATCATTATAGTTCTTAAAGTGAAATTCAATTGTAAAAAATAACTGAAATTCCACACTCCTATTTTGTATGTATTTTTAGATACTGTGATTTATTCCATAAACTTTCGTATTGCATTCCACATCAGTGCAGGTCATAAACAAGGTGACGTCCAATTCCAAGACATGTGACTGAATGAGAGAAATTCAGGATATGGGGTATCTAAGCAACCACTTTCATGACCTCCATGATCTCTAAGTTCTTCCAGTATTTATCTCATTGGTTTTTATCACAAATATTTAATTGTCATCATTTTATCTTGTCCACATATAGGGATATTTTTATGGAAAAACACTGGAAGAGTGTCATTAATAAATCAGTATGTGATTATTTCTTTGAAGCCCAAGAAAAAGTAAGTTACTGATATTATATTATATTATATTTCTCAGTCTTTGAAATGTCTTTTATCACTTTTTTCAGTAATTTAAGTTTTTTTTTGTGTTTATTTTTTGTGATTATTACCGATACATGTTTTACCAAGTAAAAGAGCTTCTCATTGAATCTGTCACAGTCTGGAAGTCATATCAGTAGTTACTCCATTATAAAGATTGAATGATGTAACACTCAGATTTTATACCACTCAAGCCAGTTTCGCCAAAAATATAAGTGCCACCCCACATGCCATATAATAATTTAGGTTGAAATACAAGTTTACAATGTTTATAATTTATGTTGTTGTTGTTGTTTTTAGGCAAACAGACAAGTCTATATTTCTCCGCCCATCATAGATGTTACTTGCAAGGGAACCCTTGCAAGAATGACAAGTCTATTGTTTGTCAGAGTATACCCGGCTTTCGCCATGTATACACTCACATATTTTTTTTAGCGATATCATTAATTTAGCCCAGCGGTTAGACGGGTTATTTTTATTTAGAGGTGCGCGGGGAACCTACATTTGGAACGACAATCAATCCGGCGACAAAAAATCGGCGACAATAACCAAGGGGGTGAGAGATGCAGCATTTTTCAAGAACCAATCACAAGACTGGTTAAGAACCAGTTGAGTGAGGCTAACCGAGTCGTAACCTTGATGTGGTTCGTAACCAGTCTTATGATTGGTTGTTGACGCATTCTGAACAGGCCACACCTTCAACTGTGCCGTGCGTTCGGGCCAACTGTTAATTATTCATAAATGGCGTCAATTTGTGTAGTTTTCTTGATTTATTCCACAGATGTAGGTAAAATATATGTAAGGCTTTGACAAAATTTGAAAGAGCAACTAATAATCTTCAACCTGGTATTTTTTTTCCATTCTGGTATTTTATTTCACCTGTGTTATATATTCATATGTTGTTTACAGGCTGCCTCTCCAGATGATGTGCCACCCGTTATCAACACACCTCATCACTACCTTATAAGTATCTATAGAAACCAGCTTTATTTTGTTGCTGTCGTGACAACCGAAGGTACAAACATTATCAGGTTATTACATGAATATTACAGTGCACGCACAAGGAATGGGGCAGTATGGTAATCATATTAACAAACACATAGCAACAATACTGCTGTTAGATTTCATCTTAAATATTCATAAATACACAACATGCCACAAACTGAATATCACATTCCATCCCAACTATGACTTCAACTTGAATGTATGCCAGTTTTGTATGCCAGTCTTGTATCTAGTGTGAATAAAAACATGTTGTGGCACTGACAAATAAAAATTATGTTTATTGGTGAAACAAAACAAAGGTCTCCTTTCCCGGTTGTCATGAGTCTTTTTTTATTTTCTGCTTTTGGGGGGGAAATATATTTTCATGTGTTTGCTTCTGTAGCAAATACTCCAAAGGTCGCTGTCTTAAATTGTAGGTGAATTGCACTTTATGGTATATGTAAATAAGTTTTCATAAGTTTGCAGTTATTAGAATCACTTTGTATATCATGGATTATTTTTCAGTTCCTCCACTGTTCGTTATTGAGTTTCTACATCGAGTTGTGGAGACATTTGAAGATTACTTCTCAGAATGCAATGAAACTATAATCAAGGATAATTTTGTCATTGTTTATGAGGTGAGATGTTTAACTTTCTAGAATCTGACTGGTGTTAAATTAATTTTTGCATCGCTTGGATCTGAGGGCTGTTTTGTGCGATGATGAATTATTATTGGCATTATGACAATGTAATGTACATGCACTTCTACAAGTGTGAATATTCTATAAACATAGAGATCACACTAGCTTGATGGCAACATGTCAAAACAGTTTGTGTCTTTGAACATAAACATCTACTGTAAACTCTGTATTAGAAGCATCGGCTTCTATTAAAATGGTACAATGCAACAGAGGGATGCAGCTTCTATTAGTGACCTTTACACATACGCGTAATTGTGATTTTTTCGTTCTCAATTGTTCAGAAAAAATGGGTGCGATTTCTATTAGGGATGCCGCTTCTAATATAGATTTTACAGGATACATTTATGCACAAGGCATGATTAAAGATGTGTTAAGCAAATATACAAATCATCACCTTGTTTTAGTATCAAAACAACGACATGCAAAAGAAATTCCACAGTATAAATACCATAAAAAATAACTTGGACAATATGACTCAGTTACCAGTACCATAGGACAAAGTCAGTGTAATAACTTGCATGTTTTAAACAACATAATTTACCGTCATACATTAATGAAATCAAACAACTAATTGTTATATATCGCCAATGCGTACGTTTTGAAAACACAAATCAAAGCTGACTTTGTTGTGTTCTATAACTAGAAATGTATTACAAGGGGTAGTTGTACTTTGTGTTAGTTAACATGCTCCTGATTTGAATTTGATAAAGACATTCGTATATATTAAAATGTGCCCGAAAAGCCTGTACAGATGCCTTTAATTTCATGTGTCAGTGCGATTCTGTGTGCATTTAATGATTTTCCAAAACATATTTTTTTGCAATATTTCAATAATTGTTTTGTCATAAATGTATATTTTTGTGCTTGAAAGTTTTCTACAAGACCATGTGATAACGTTGTCCAGTCTTCAAAATGGAGCTCTCTGCTAGTTCTGTCAACAAATATTGATATATTGTTACTCTGTTTTACTTTCATAGCTACTTGAAGAGATGCTAGACAATGGTTTCCCATTGGCAACAGAATCTAACATCTTAAAAGAACTTATCCGACCACCTAATATTATCCGCACAGTTGTTAACTCAGTCATAGGTGGCACAAAGTAAGTTTCTACGTGACTGTGACTCAAATCTCAAATAAATTCTCAGCTAGAATCTCCTTCAAGGTCGTCCAATACAAAACATGTCTCAAAAAAAACCTTCAAATTATTGAATGCCCCGTTTAGATGTTTTAGGTCACCTTTTAAAAATTAATTTTGAATAGATTTGTTGTTATTTCTTCTCTACAAATATGAATCAAAACCTGTAGACAATACGTAAAGCTGATTATCTGGTCAAAAACAATACAGACAAAAAATGTGAGAAAAAATAAAACTGATCAAAGAGTGACAAAAGTTTACTTTAACGTTCGAAGGGAGAGATGTATGATGACACTGTGTAGCATTTATTGTGATTTTAAAATCTATTATATTATCATTAGAGCTGATCTAATAATAAAATGCTATGACAAACAGGTCAAATATGAACAATGTGTGAAGACTAGATGATAACAATTTCAGTGACCATTTTTCTTCCATTTATGTTACCAATATTTTTTTCTACGTTCATGTGATGTTAATTTCGTTCTTGTAGCGTGAGTGATCAGCTTCCCACGGGCCAGCTGTCTAATGTACCATGGAGGCGCAGTGGTGTGAAATATACAAATAACGAGGCTTATTTCGATGTTATTGAGGAAGTAGATGCCATCATTGACAAATCGGTAAGATTGAAGAGATATAAGCTTCATTTGTAATAATAGTGAGTTTAATACTGTGAACATTGTAGCATTTTACAACATGTGTGTTCATTTGGTTTAGCTAACCTCATTTAGTCTTAGTATTACATTCATTGAAAAAAATTCCACTAAACGCAATCGCTACACTGCAGAGTCATTTTGTGTTAATAAATACATGTACTGGGGTACCATAATACATTTCACTTATTTGCATATCTGTTGTAACAAATGCTTATCAAATACTCATGTCATGTAATACATAATAATTAGTTGTTTATAAACACTATAGACAGTTTGCAAACACTAGATATCCCAACTATTGCCATTGAATGTACTCAATAAACCCCCAGTGAATACTGGTAGACACTTTAATGATAGAATCTATTGGTTTCTTTTACAGAGCAGTGAATTTAAAACCTACCCCAGTGGTAGATATCTCCCTTACATCAGATCCGCTAAAATTAAACACAGTGAATATTTTTCCCGATATAGTACTGGTAGATGTATTAGATGACTCTTGTATTGAAATTTGGTGTATTTACTAAAAACTGTTGATATGTCACGTTTATTTACTGATATTGTCTTCTTTTGTTTCAGGGTTCACTGGTGTTTGCTGAGATACAAGGCTACATTGATTGCTGTATTAAATTGTCTGGAATGCCTGATTTGACGATGTCTTTTATGAATCATCGCTTGTTGGATGATGTCAGTTTTCATCCCTGTGTTAGATACAAGAGATGGGAGGTAGGCATGGGAACAATGTATTATAGTGTTGTCATGGTTATGATCAGTAATTTATAGTCAACGCATCATTGGGGGAAAACCTTGTCTACAGATCACATGTTATTGTGTTTGAACTGGGCCTAGTTGACACAAAGATAGCTATGTGATAGAAAGATGTTCTCGCAAGCAAGTCAGTTATTCTCAACTTGTAGTATGGTCTCTATGTTGTACATGTATATATAGTTTATTTGTTTCATTTCATTTCAGTCTGAGCGTATTATATCGTTTGTACCACCAGATGGTAATTTTCGATTGACGTCATATCATATCGGTTCACAAAGGTGAGAAACTTGATTAGTGGATCTTAAATTCTACTGCATGTGTTCTTTTTATATTCTAATAGCATTTGTTCAATTACAAGATTTTACTGAAAATAAGACTGATGTAACCATGTAATGTTATTTAACACATGCAACACATCAACCCCCTCTTTTAAACCCCTTATTATGTTGTGGGTATTCAGTAAGTGAATTCCCAGGAAATTTATTGCTAAATCAAAACGTTGCTAAATATTTATTTATAAATAATCATGAAATACATATGTCACTATTTCAGTGTCTGTTGACATTAATATTTGTCAGATAATTTTAATTGCATCAATTTATGCCATTTGTGAATTACATTACATTGCACAACAGGTTCTATTGAATAATTGAATAAATGCAAACACATGCTACTATGGAAACAAATATCTTATGATTATTAAACCTTGTAGTTTGAAAATGCCTCCCTGTGGCAGCCATTTTGAATCAAGATTATGTGACTTCAACTCTTATATGGGAGCCCCAGTTCTTTATATGGAACCCCCAATTCCTCATATGGGAGCCCCAATTTTTTTACCATTGGAAAAGAATCCAACTAAATTTCAAAACATCCTACAATAAAGAAAAATAAAGAAAATAATGAATAAAATCTGAACAATAATTTCTGTAAATATTTTTTCCAAATGCTGATAATCTCTACGTTTTCTACATTGTTTTCAATTGCAGCATGGTTGCCATACCAATTTATGTCAGACCACAGATGTCGTTCAAAGACAGTGGTGGTAGGTTTGACCTGACTGTGGGACCAAAACAAACTATGGGAAAAACAGTAAGTCTTCATATCTGGAGATATACAATTCTTAGAATCTTGTCTCCACAAATGTACATTCACTATGATTTGTTTTCCGAACATTATTCGTTACTATCGATATGATTTATTTGATCTCTTTAAGTAGACTGCGATAAAAATTTAAGAAATAGCCAAAAAAAAACAACATCTTATAGCTGCCCAGTTTTGGAATGTGACTTATTTAAAATTAGATGGAATTTTTGACTGGTAACATTTTTAAAAAAAACAACCCAAAATTTAAGAGAATGGAAAATATTAGGCATTGTGAAAAATAAATGGAGTGGTAAGGTATTTTTTTTTGGCTAATATATTCCCATAGATTTTGAAAGTTTAATCGATTCGTCAACAGAGGGCGCTGTGCAGTGGTGAATTAAGACTGCATGCTGACAAGATGCATAATTTTTTATAACCTTATTGTACTAGTCAGGGGCAATATGAATATTTTATTTTATTATCTACAGAGCAAATAAAGTAGCAAAAACTTTGTAAAAGGTGTAGTCCAAAATCAAGTAGAAACCTGTTAATATGGGATTGTACTTTTGAATAATTCACCCACAAGAACTGCACATATTTGGAGAGTTTATTATAAGAATACGTCAAAGTATATGTGAATGTTTAGTGAGATATAAAACATTCTGAAATGCATACTAAAAGATTTATTCATACACTATTATTTATATGTAATTTTCTATAATTATGTATAATCTAGCTAATTTTAATTGTTGTTCTACAGGTTGATAACGTGGTGATTAAAGCTGAACTGCCGAAAGTTGTATTGAACGTCAACCTGACAGCTACGCAAGGAAACCATACGTTTGATCCCGTCAATAAAACACTGACGTGGGAAGTCGGTAAAATTAATCCACAAAAGTTGCCAAGCATCAAGGGTTCAGTAAGTAGTTTTTGAGTTGATCATGTAATGACTTTGATGTATCTGTCCCACAATGCACCATTAAATAATGGAAGTAGGTAATGTAATTGTAGTGTCCCACAATGCACCATTAAATAATGAATGTAGGTAATTGTAGTTTTTGGTATTTATACAATATAACCAGTTGTTTCTCAGATGATGGATGTGAACAGAACACTAAACATCTAATATTTTTCCAATACTTTGTCAAAAACATCTTGTTATATTGAACAATTTTGTATATATTATAGCAATGTTCACTAATTTTAATTAATTTCAATTCATGTGTTCCACTGATACGCAAGAATTGCTGGGATGTTGTACAAATCAGTTTTATTACGTGTATAAATCCTTCAATGTTAATCACCTAATTTTTTATAATAATTTGAAAATATCTAAATGGTAGTGCTATCAATGCAATTCTATGGTACTACTAAATAGTTTATGGATAAATTCTAATACCCGGACATGTCTGGCTATACTCTGATAGGCAACAAATATTAATTGCATTTACAATATATTAACTTTTAATTATTCTATTAGTGTAACCATCAATCAAAATAACTATATGTTGCATGGAGATTTATAGTGAAAAATAGTTTTTTTTTTTTTTTTGGTTGTATCTCATTTGAAATCAATTTATTAATTAATATATCATTCAGCTGATAAAGTTGACAGTCAATAGCGAACGTTTATAAAACAATCCTATTGTACAAGCAAATGGATGAAGTGGCCAGACAGGTTTTCTGCTGACCAGTTGAACTGCCTTAACACTGCAATGTTTGGATCGAACTTAATTTGTCATCAATAACAACAAGTGATGTCATTTTGTCAACAGATGAATCTACAGAGTGGATCTCCACCACCCGAAGCTAACCCATCTATCACAGTAAGTATTCTGTATTGAGTAACATTCGCAGCTCGGCAAGACAATACCGTACCGTGAAAGAATATCGTACCCATACAAGGATAAATTCTTTTGCAATTCAACACCAATCTAACACCCCTGTGGATTTTACTGTAAAAAGTGTACCCCTGGTAATCGTATTACGATCTCATGGTTTTGTAGGTTCAGTTCACAATACAGCAGCTGGCGATATCAGGGTTAAAGGTCAATAGGCTGGACATGTATGGTGAGGTAAGAAACTTCAAGAGGTTGCCAGTTAACAACCACAAAATATCTGCATGTTTAAACTGCTGATTCATACATACATGTACTGTTGTGAATATTTAGATTAATTATCTTTGAGTAAAATAAATATTCCATTACAATTGATTATTATTTACAAGACCTTCACAGCAAACCAATGTGCACCACTTTGTGAACTGTGAAACTTAAAATGGGCTGACAGTGGAAGTTAAAAAGACTGCTAATTCAAATAAATATAGCTGCATTTGAGTTACTGAGAATTGGAAAAGGTGATAAGAATCTGTGGGTTCCACTTGTTATTTATTCTATTTGCTTTTATTATATGCTGACTTATTTGTGTTCTAGGCCTTGCTTTCAAGCTCCCTGCAATGATACAATATGTATGGTTAGCCAGTGCGCAAGTGAGGCTTGTATAAATGGCCAACGCATGATAAGAGCATCTATGTTCTATGTGAAATGATTCAAGCCTGTTTCATTTCTCATGCATGCCTCCAATAAGAGCATTGTTTTTCTATAATTACGCTCTGTGTGTGATGATCTGAATGAAAAATAAATTTAAATCTTCACAAATTCACAACTTACCACAAATCTTGAGATATGTTCTGTGTCAGGTGTATGACTTCTGAAAATATGTATAAATAAACACAATTTCTTTTTTTATATTTCCAGAAATACAAGCCATTCAAAGGAGTAAAGTATCTAACAAAAGCCGGCAAGTTCCAAGTACGAACATGAGGTCAGCAGTTCAAGAGAATAAAAATAGTTCTAAACAATAAATGTTTTATTTATTTGACATCAACAAATATCAGCCTAGTATTGTCAAGAGGAAAATAAAAGTTATCTTTGTGAATAGAAACCAATGTGAATACATCATGGTTACCATAGCACCACCCAGTTGATGATATTAGATTACAGTGTGCATGCTGAACACAAAATACTGAAAGAATTGTTCATTTTACAGAGTGGTGTTCAGTGTATAGGAATGTATTATATTAACAAGTCTCAGGACAAGGGACTAGAAAAGGTGTTCAGTTTTGACAAGTTTCCTATATCTGCATCCAGGTCAATATAGAAAAATTCAATGTGCATTGCACAACAACCATGCTTCCTAGTTGTTATTTTCAATTAGTTAGGGAGTCTACTTTCCACAGTAATGATAAAATCAGACATGTACTTATCTGAATTTGCAACTAACGATACATTGTAAATTGAGACAAAAGGAGAAATGACATTCATATATGCTGATGTCTATACTCCAAGTCATAGATAACTTGTCACAACATTTTATTTTCTGGATTTTAATACACTGATTACTGTAAGTTGTTTTATTTTCATGTAAATTAATGAATTGAAATCCAACAAAAATGTATCAAAAATGTTTTCAGCTTAAACATAATTCCAGCTGAAATAAAATAGACAACAATACTTAAAGGGTGACAGTCATCAGAAATGTTTGTGCTCAAATTTTGTGTAGCATGGGCCCCATGCATTATGATAAGTTTCGAAATACATATTATATCGCTTCATCGGCAAATCCACAAATGTACAATTGATATGTAAATTAGCAGATTGTTTTGATGTATAGGTTGACTAATGTATTTGGATGGATGGATGGTCATTTGTTCAAAATTAGCACAACAAAATTATAGCATTCATCAACATGTTTTTTTTTCTTATTTATACATTGTAACGTAATGTAGTTGATTTGTCTATTAAAATAGTCCACTCTGTAGTATATGGCTTCCAATGTAACACCTACTATTTTGTGTAGCTTTAATTTTGTGTGGGATGCAAAGATATTTTCTAGCAGTGGGAATTCTACAGGGAATCGCAACTTTCAGTGGGACTCGGGATTCACAACAATTTTCACTGGAGTCCTAGGGAGTCACAGCAACTTTCACTATGTCCTAGGGAGTCTCACTAACTTCCACTGGGGTCCTAGGGAGTTGCAGTGAACTTCTCTGGGGTCATAGGGAGTCACAGAAATTTTTCACTGGAGTGCGAGGGAGTTGCAGCAGGCTTCTCGGGGGGGGGGGGGTCATAGAGAGTCACAGAAACTTTTCACTGCAGTTCTAGGGAGTTGCAGCGGGCTTCTCTGGGGTCATAGGGAGTTGCAGAAATTTTTCACTGCAGGCCTAGGGAGTTGCAGCGGGCTTCTCTGGGGTCATAGGGAGTCACAGACATTTTTACTGGAGTCCTAGGGAGTTGCAGTGACATTTACTGGGGTCCTAGGGAATCGCGATCATGCAAATATTTGTAGAACGTATTATTGTTATTCAGCTGAAAATTAATTTTGTTCTTATACAATGCACTGTCAGTCTTACTCAGTGCAATGTCAAACTTATTGAAGATGGCATGGAAATTTTTTGTTTTTGCATATGACAGCAGTATCATCTTGTGCATTACTGATGAGTTCTCGCCCAATGTCTAGTTGAGTTACTTCACTTGTTGCCATAAAATCTATGCAGCACTGTTGAGTAATACATATGGTACATCACACAGTTTTCTAGGCATTTACACATACTTTTATAGATTTGGTTCAGTCTGTATACTGTCCTGGTGAATAAGTTTCCAGCAGATATCAATAAGCCATACCATGTACATCTTGAGTAAGGAATGGATTATATCACACATGAGGACTGGTTTCTAACATCGTTAGATAACATTAAAATTCATTCATTCATTGTTTGGGAAGCAAGAAAAGTGAAAATTATTTGATTATAAAGTTTAGTACACCTACCTAAGGTCACGATCAGTTATAAATTATTTTCTGTGTCTTTAGATTGTTTGACGGCATTTGCCCTATTGAATAATGGTGACGAATTTATCAAGATTTGTTTACTCAGTACAAAATATGGTTTTTGAGAAAACTGGCTGAAAAAAAATGGGTGTTTTTAATTCTAAAAACTATACCACTCAAGCTTTTGTCAATATTCGATGCAAAACGTGGTGGGATCTTGCTGTCAAACGACGCCTTTAATGTGATACTAGTATAATACCTGTAATGATGATTGAAAGGGCGTGTGGGTAGAACAGCGCCCTCACATTTTAGAAAAACAAGATGTCTGCTCGCACAAGAAGAGAGGTGTAGTAATTTGTTTACATCCGTATTTTGTATATATATATATATATATATATATTATTTATTAAATATTGGTCACTGGAAAATTTATTGCGTAGAAAGAGCATGGACAGTTTGCCATCGACCATTAGAAGCATCGTTCCGAATTCCAAAACTGAGTTACAATTAGAAAACTTGAAACTTGATCTTAAAATTCGAACTGCCGTTTCGTGTCAACTCCATGAATGCATTGATTTGATTTTCTCGGGAAACGTTAGCAGTTGCTTGCAGTACGCGGAGGATATTATCTCATATACATGGGAGAAATTAAACACAGGTCACTGGAAAGATGTGGATATTAAGTGGCGTCATCTGTACTCGTACGCTTCACTTTTGAAGTGCATGGCAGTTCTGGCCGGAGAACCGTTTGAAAATGAAACCACTTGTGCACAGAAGAGTGACACGCTTAAGCCAACGCGCGTCAAGTATGAGGTAAAAAAAAATTGAATTCTTCTAATATATGTCTTTTATAGTTATAGTCATGATTTTTTTCTTCACCCACATGAAATTGTCTTTTGCAAAAATCCTTCGGAAAGAGTTTCTTTTGTACCCTCACCACTATATAACCGCATGGACGTACTAGATACCGTCCATGATAACCGTAACTCTACCCCTACCCTCCAGCGCTCCCTCTTAAATATTGCTGTAATTAATTAGAGGGCGCATATGCAATTGAATCGGCGGGGGTTTGGGTTGAGGGTTAGAGGTAGGGGTACTATTAAAAGGGTAAAAATGTGGGCCGAAATCAAAGAAAAATGAATTCAACTCCCAACAGAAGAGGGAAAAAAATAATGATGAGAAATGCTCTCAGGAAGAAAAAAAAAAATCTTCACCCTTGATAGTCAAGCCATAACTAGCTGCCTGTGTTGTATCTCATGTAGGTAGCGATCAGAACATGCGACATGGGGTTACTGATGGGGGCACCCATCTTGGATAATATCCTCAGTCGCTTAGCAACAATAATTCATCAACTGCAATGTCATGGAAAGGAAAAAGAAAAAGACGAAAAGGATAAAAAAATTGATGAGGTAAATGTGCTGATTTGACAGCCCCTTATAAACATAAATTCTTGATATTATAGCGGCATTTTTTTTTTTCTCTGATTTCTGAGACTAGTAAACATTTCCTGTGTTGTTCATGCCAATATGTAAAAGCTAGTGTCAATGTGTGGACAGTGAAAGCACAGCATATGTGCTATATACCAACATCGTACATTAAATCACTTGCAAACAAGAAAAGATGGCTGCAGTGTTAGGTTCAGGTCTCTAGAGAGTGCCATTTATTGAAATCCAGTTTGGTTAAAGCAAAAGGGTGGTCACCTGCGCACACACGGGAATTGAGTCCCAAGCGACGATAACAACACACGCTAAAAACGCAAAGGCTCACGGGTAGACGCTTGTTTGTAAACAATGACACGCTATGGCCATCTGACACATGCGCAGGTGACGACTCCCCTGCTTTAAGCAAACCTCAAGGTTCACGGTCCAAGACAACAACTTACCGAGGGGCCTGGGCGAATTGTCAAAAACTTCACCATCTTGAGGGGCTATAATCACTGATTATTTTATGTGTAATATTTCATAATAGTGTGCATTGTGCATCATGTTTTCCTACAGTTCCCATCATGTGACTGAATTCAACGAAATGATGACTACTCAATTCTTAGTTTTCACGTTGCATTTTTCGTGACTTTAGTCCTGTCACTTTGTGTCCAACGAGGCTTGTGTGTGCATTATGGGCGTGGACAATGTGGAGCTTTCTAGCTAGTCATTATTAAATATTTGAATTTGAATGAGAGCTGATGATCAGTATTTACAAACTGTAAATATGTAATATCAGAATTTTTAGACGATATGGATATCAATTTTTTTTCTGACTTTAATACAGCTGAATATGAGTTTTTGAAACATGTTTCTCAATTTGAGACTTTGTATAAGGATAATACATGTCTACCTGAACTAATCTCTAATGACATATTTAAAAGGCGGTAGGCGTCGCGCCTGGGCATGTGTGACATTTGTGTTGATAAACATTGATTTTCCCACAATCCAATGTGCTCTTCTAATGGAAATCACAAATATGAGGTTTGACCTGAGTGCGACTTCCACTAATTATAGCGATGACTCTTTTCCAATCACCTAAAACATATTTAATTAAGGCTTAGTAGCGTCTCAGTTTGTACTCGTTGATCTGCGCAATAGCCAAAATCGTTGTTTATATGAGACTCGTATATTTCGCGCATGCGTGATGCGACTACCCTTTAAGCACTTTTTTATTTCATCGTACACTGAAACTTGTTTTGTGATGCGTGTATATTATATCAGTACTATGATTACAACAAACAGTTAGCTAGTAATGTACCAGTATGTCACATACTGGCAATAACATTGATTATCGTTTTTGTTCAAGTTTGCATAACATATATAATTGCATGTTTTTCCATAGTTGAATTTTTATCAAGAAAACAAAATGAGTTTTTCTAATTTAATAATTTTCGAAACCTGTGCATACATGTACAAGGGTGCAAAAAACAAAATACTACTTTGGCAATGTAAACAAAAATAACAATTATGAGGTGAAAATAAGGTGTTAAATGAATCTTTCTGTTGAAAAATGTACAAGCTAAGAAAAATCATGTACCAATAAAATATGAATTACATAGTTGGCCTCTACTTTTGATATAATTGATGACATAACTATAGAATGTTAGACAGTATATGAAACACGAAGAAAGGCAGAGAGGAATGATATTTTGAAATTCATCACTACTTTGACTGTGTCTTTGTGTCACTTTGTGATAAAAACTTTTTTTATAAAAACAGCAAATACCATTAGAGAAAACCACCTAATGGGTCATTAATATTTTTTTTACATTATTTCATGTAACTGTATTGTAGTAGATTTTAGATATCTAACTTGATATGTTTATTTTAACACCTTTATTACACTTTATAAACCAAAATAGATATGTAATTCATTCTATAAGGTTGTAATAAAGAATTATCTTATCTTATAGTGCTCTCAAAAGCATCAGCTCGGATATGCCACTTTGTGACAGACTTCATCATCGTTGTTATTTTCAAGAATTATTGATGCTTTGGTGGGAAAACATGATGGCGTTTATGAGTTAAAAGTGTAAAATAATCTAATACATCAGGTGCTTGTTTTGAATTATATTTAAGCACAGTCCCTCTACAGTCCCTCTATCGCCGGTCTGGAAACGACTATCGTTCTTTTGTCTCGAACCGCAGTGCGGGTAAACAAACCGTTCACACCCGGGCCGATGGAGTCAGGAAGTCAGACGGATTACGTTACCGTCAAAATATTCATTAAAATCGGAAAATTTACCGTCATGCAAAGCGATACCTCATTGTATGACTTCACTTTGACTTCAAATCCGGGCAACCACAACGTAAACAAACATGTACATGTGTAAACAAAATTATCACTATGAAATTTGAGTTTTTTTAAGGTGATGCGCATCAAAACCAGCCTACCAACTCATAAACATCCAGTTCCTACAATGTAAAGATTAATATCGGGAATTATATTCATCTTCTAGTTTTAATAGGAAAAAAGCTTCACGTGCCAACATGCTGACATCGCTAAACAAAATGGCGTCGTTCATGTTAACGTGATCGATCGAAAAACCTGTGATATTTCTGATTCCTGGGGGTTCATAACAGTTCAAGTCAACTATACAACTAATGACTTTATTCTATGTAAAAGTATATAACAATGCTTCAATGCTTGTATATAAATGATTTTTTTAGCACAGAATTGAGTACATTGTCATTTCAAAACGTCGTCATTTGCATTTACGATCTAAAAAGCATCCATAAAAGTCGCTCAATTTAACATTAATAAAATGCGGTGTGACAAATAACAAATCAGCCCACCAATTTTTAATGATATGTTTCGATCATAAAATGTCAAAATCGAAGACAAATATTGGTTTCGCGCCGAGAAGTATGGTAAATAAAATAGAGTTCATTTCAATCACCCCAAAATCAAAAACGACAAAAATCTGGGTAAAAGTATGAAAATTTGTTGCGAAAATGTGTCGCTGCTGGTAAAACAGATGAATTGGAGAACTACTCGCTCTCACTAAAATATGACCTTATACAGATATCCTGATTATAAAATTATGTAAAAAAGCACGAATTATGGAATAAACAACTAAGTTGTTAAAAAACACATAACACTGACCATGAAAAAGTAGTGGCCGGCTGCGTACTGATCACGTGACAATGCTTTGCCCAACCCCGCAATGCGCCTTTGCCAGGGAAGGAGGCCAATTCACACCTAATACAATGACCGTTTCCAGAGAGGGACTGTGATTTAAGCCTTGCTTGAGATAGTAATTGCATTCATTTCATCTACAGCTACAACCACATCCAGGGAAGAAACCCAAACTTTGTAACATTCCAACGATCAACAAAGACAATGCTGTCAACAGATGTGTCAATCCTTCATTAGAAACGTTTAGGGAGTACATGACCAAAGGAGTGCCTGTTATTATTCAAGGTGCCATGGAACATTGGCCAGCAAGCAGTACAAGGAAATGGAGGTGAGAAACCAAAAAAGGTTCTTAGTAACTAAATATATTTTATTCAGTGAAATAATTTAATTACCATTTAATAATGTTGCATATGATATCTCATAACAAACATTATGACAAGAAAGCTTAACTGCCAAGAAATTTAGCTGACTGGCATAATAAAAGATGAGTTGTATATTGAATAAATTTTTAAAATAAGTCTCTACATTGTTGGGTAAAGCCATGAATGTTTTTTTTTAAGAAATATTTACAAACATTTTCTAAATTTCAAATTAAAAACAACTTGACCAATCAAAATGCCATAGCAGATGAATACCACCAATACAGTTACTTCTGTCTGTGTGTCCTTTGACCCATCATGACAAGTTCCCTGTAACTTAAATACGTTTTACAATTTAAACATTTGGCTCCAAACTGTAGCGACAATAAAACATGTGATATTCAAAATGTGTCTTCTGACAATTAGTTAGCATTTTGAATATATTTGCTGTGATCTATATTTGGCGTGAATAAGTCATGATTGAGGATAAGACGCATTAGGTATTACCTAAATGAGCTTCTCTGTACCAATGGAAATTACGTCTCTAAGGGTCATCTGAGATACTGTAAATGTTTATCATAAAAATAATTTTCATGGCTTTTAAAAATTCTCATTTTAGAGTATCAGGACTGCTACTCTGTCATAGTTTACTACAATCTTAACTGATCTTTATATTATGATGCATCCTCAGCACTGAAAACAATGAATTTGTCATTCCGTAAAATGCCATATTGGCACTCATTCCAGAACATATCAGCACTCATTCAAACATAAATTCTTTCTTAAACTACGCCATCACCAACATTGACAAAATCCAGGTTACTGATGTTCTATTTGAATACTTCCCTTTGTCTATTTTGGATGAAGAAGCACTATAGCACATGAAATACATGTATATACAATACCGTCACTAAACCAAATCTTTGCACAGTACAAAATGTTTGTTGTTGCTAATTTGAGCTATAATTGCTCATTTATTACTACAAGCAGGAAGGAGATATATAAAATTTGAATGACTGTAGTATAGCTCTGCATCAGTCAATACGATCACTGTACCGCCTTTGTGCATACTTTGCGGTATTCTCCTCATATCCTCACATCATTTATTATTTTTAATTAGAACATTAAACCAAACAAAAAAGCGTCATTGACATTTGCTAGCTGACTTGGGAAGTGTAAAGTTTGGTTTGTGTTGCCCATGTGTAAGTTGAACAGATAACAAATAAATACAGCAATACACTATGCTGGAATTCCTGGCAATAATCACTTAACTCAAGATTGGCCAACCGAAACTGCTGGAGGACAATGATGAAATTTAAGTTATTCAGTATCAATAAATATATCATCACTTTTAAATTAGTTTTCGAAAGTAAATATGGTGTTGAAGAAGCAGTGTCAAAAAAATTAGATGACAACATCCATCTTTGACCATTGCTGATTAGACACATCAAAGTTTATTGGTAAATGAAAACTAACTCTAAGACCAGAGAGACACATTTCTATACTGTAAAATACTTTATTTTAGCTGAAATTAATTTTCGCTGAAAAGACTTTTTGGGCGTTATGTATGAAATTTATTTTCACTGATTTGACAAGTTGAATGTAAAATATAGGAAAAAGGGTATATTCACTGGATTTTATTTTCACTGAATCATTCACTGAAAATAGCGAAAAAAAAATTCCAAGCGAAATAAAGTATTTTACAGTATAGAAATGTGTCTCTCTGGTCTTAGAGTTGGTTTTCATTAAAACAGGAATACAGCAAGGACAAATAACTTTTATTTTGAATGTGGAATAGACATTGACGAGGATGGATAGTGACGGCAGCCATATGGGCACGTAGTATGCAGATTACCAATAACAGTTAAATGAATGATTAAAAACAAAGGATTGTGTTGGTTGGGGCGGGGGATGGGTTGGAGTAATTCCAATTCTTGTGCTTTTAAACCTTAATGATTTCATAGTAATTATATTTTGTATGAATTTTATATGCTTGTAACAAATTAATAGAATATTTATTAAATAGCATATATTTTTGTTGATGTATCCCATTTTAATTACCTAATGTGTCACTGTATACAGTTTATCAGATTTAGTTAAAAAAAAATATGGCTGTTCATTATGTTAATTAGTATGCAAATTAGCTGCAGCCATAACATTACTTTCTAGGGAAAACACTGCACCTTCACCTGCTGAATTTCTGTGTGTTTTATTAATGTCATTTACTTTTTCAAATTTGTATCTGATACAAAATGAAGAATTTAATTCTTTTGCGTAATCACAAATAAACAGATAATCAAATAGGCCATCAATTTTACAACAAGTTTTTCTATTTGTAGTATAGATTACATTTGTCAGATTGCCGGTTCCCGTACAGTACCCGTGGAGCTTGGTGCACGTTACACAGATGAGAGTTGGTCGCAAAAATTAATGACGATATCAGAATTTATAGATCATTACATTGAACGCAAGGTAAGCATAGTCAAAAGCATCTTGAATTAGACACATTTTGAATTTGGTAATTTGTATGGATATTGTCATCGGAACTGCACATACATATTGTTTATGGCCATCACTTTCTGTCGTATAACATCTGAATAAACTGCATAGTGCACACGTATTGTAGGTAAGAACCAATGGGTGACCAGAATAGAAATATTACAAGTTTAAAGCGGGAGGGTCGTCACCTGCGCACGAGTCCAAGTGATGATAACAACACATGCTTAAAACGCAAAGGCTCATGTGTGGAAGCTTGTTTGTAAACAATGACAGGCTATGGCCATCTGACGCATCCGCAGGTTACGACTGCCCCGCTTTAACACTGGTCAGCGTGCACACCATTTATTTCGCCACTGCACAGCGCCCTCAGTTGGTGAATTGTTTAAACCTGCGAAATTTCTGCACCCCTTTTTTAGAAAACAGCAACTTCTTTTTTGACCAGCAACTTTTTTTTTTATGCAATGTTACAATAGTAGGGTAACCATAGTTTCACTATGTTAATATAGGTGTGTTCTTTCCTCTTAATAGAATTACAATGAGGACACCATAGGCTATTTGGCTCAACACCAACTGTTTGATCAGGTCAGTGCTAATGCAAACGTTTTAGTTGCAGAATTGGTTGAATGTGATTAAAACGTACGCAGGCTTATAACTATTAGCCTTATCCAATTCAGTACTGGGTACTACAATGTATCTTATATTGCAGTGTTAAAAAGAAAAACAGTTTTTTGTCATTGACATTAGAGGGCACTCTACATATATATTCCATTTTCAGATACCCGAATTAAAGAAGGACATTTGTATCCCGGACTACTGCTGCCTTGGTGATGAAGATGAGATTGATATCAATGCATGGTTTGGACCAATGGGAACCGTATCTCCATTACATCACGATCCAAAGCACAATTGTCTGTGTCAGGTTGTTGGTTGTAAATATATCAGACTTTACTCCAGTAATGTAAGTGAAGGACTGTATCCTCACGGAGGACGTCTACTGGATAACACAAGCCAGGTGAGTATTAATTGTACCGAAAAGCTGAGGCAGCTGTTGTGTCTTACCAGTAGATATCAAGAGAATATTAAATATATAAAATATGTTTGAAGTCCTTGGCATGTGAAATTTGTGTAATATAATAATTGTAAGAGTTGTGGTGCAAGATATATGCAGCAGAATATTATTTCCAAGAACTGAACGCCACTCAGCAGTTCGGTAGATTTGGTTGTGCTTGAGGTTTCACCATCTCAGGGAGTCAGTCGCATACAGGAAACTATTTGATGACCAATTATGCACTAATAAGTATTTTATGCAAGGCGTTTTACTTCAAGATTAGTCTGAAATGCACACTGGACTGTTGAGTTGTGTTAGGTATTTGGGACCCTCCAAGTTCTCATGCAGAAATTAAAATAATTTATAGATTTGAAAATTATGTTATCTAATTTTTATTTGTAGGTTGATGCCGAAAACCCTGATTTGATTCGATTCCCGTTATTTGCCACAACACCATATATGGATTGCATATTACAGCCCGGCGAAATGTTATACATACCACCAAAATATTGGCACTACATACGATCTTTGGATGTCAGTTTCTCTGTCAGTTTCTGGTGGCAATGATGGCATAAAAACTTACCAAGATATTAACACAACATACGATCACTGGATGCCAGTTTCTCTGTCAGTTTCTGGTGGCAATGATGGCATAACAATTTATCAAGATATTAACACGACATAGGATCACTGGATGTCAGTTTCTCTGTCAGCTTCTGGTGGCAACGATGGCATAAAAAGTCACCAAGATATTGACACGACATACGATCACTGGATGTCAGTTTCTCTGTCAGTTTCTGGTGGCAATGATGGCATAAAAAGTCACCCAGATATTGACACGACATACGATCACTGGATGTCAGTTTCTCTGTCAGTTTCTGGTGGCAATGATGGCATAAAAAGTCACTGAGATATTGACACGACATACGATCACTGGATGTAAGTGTGCAAAACATTTATGCGCATGTGATATCAAATTATGGACATGATGTATTATTCAAATTACTGACATTTTCATAGAATGAAAACTCCGACAATTTTTCAACAACTCACAAGAATTGATTTTTAAAATAAACATTGAACTGTCATTTCAATTTAATGATTGTCATGAATTTCAAATAAGAAGCAGCGAATATGCAAATAGTTTATTAGGAGCTGTCCATTGCATATATATTACCGGTATACAAACAATTCTGAATAATTCAGTAATTTATTTTCACAAAGAGTGGTTTATTTCAAGGACTTTGTAAAATTGCTCAAGTTGTGAGCAATAGGGGATTTTCCGTACAATTGCGAGATCTCGCGAGATGTATGAAAAACGCGCGTTGAACGTCTACCGCAAATATCGAACGATTTGATTTTGAACTAGAATTTCTTTATTTCGTAACTCACATCGACCGGCCGATTTTCGACAGAGGAATATTGCTTCCGAATACCCTTACTTAATCAAAATTGCCTATCATCAAATGTGGACAGCACATTATTAAGCATGGAAATGTCCCCCAAAATACTTCGCGTTTGTCGAATCCCACGCGATGTTTGACGCCACTACGACGCTATGACCTTTGTTTGTCCTGTTTTTACGTTCGATTTCACGCATAACGCGTGATTCTCGCAGTGAACGGAAAATGGTCTATTAAATAAACACCACTTTGTAAAGTGGTGTTCATTTAATTGCCCACAACTTGAAAACTAGTTTGGGTATACATATCGTTTTTCAGTCATATACTTCCTTTACCACTATCCAATGTTGAGCATGGGATAAACTGAATGCGCTAACCATCTGAGTTTGACCTCAGTTTGGAAAAGTAGCACCCTCATCTAGCAATAAATTCACCTTAGTGACACATTGCCTCCTAACTCTTTGATGAGCAGGCTGTTCGCTAGAAATTAGAGATGTCTGTTAAATAAGCTTGAAAGATTGTTATACTAGTAGTGTTGTAGTCTGTGTTATGGTGCTGTATTCAATTTATATGCATATTTTGTTCATACTCAACCAGAAATCTGTGTATGGGTTGTCCAAATTGGAATCCCCTTCCAGTAGCAGAATTGCCACACATGTCTAATAATCTTTCTAAAAGTACAAATTTTGCATCTCAATCTGGAGGAAACAGGAGTTCTTGCACTATTGATACTGAGAAAGAGGAGAGAATGCTTAAACTTACACAAGCAGCTCTCAGAAAGTTCAATTTGGACTTGTCACAGTGATTGTTAAGTGTTCTATTGAGAGGGCATGTGTGAATGAGACATTAAGAGTTACGAAGGGGGTATCCATAAATCGAGTGTGCCTGTTGGGTTTCAGCCTTGTGCTAGGGTAATGAGAATTCAGTCCACTTGTGCGTGCTACACCTAGTTTGGCATATCAACATGAGGAAATTACAAATTTATTCGGGAGATGAGAAATATTAATAAAACGAGAGTACAAGTAGGTGAGATAAACAAGACTTGGACAGACTATTAGTCCCAAGTGGATAATTCATATTCTGGTTATATTCTTTTGGTGACGAGTAATCTGGTAGCATGCAAATTCTAGATGACTTGAATAACAACTATGGGTTCAGCTATTCTGTCTGCTACATAACAATACAAATGTTGCGTCTTCTAAGAGCTTTCAGAAGCAGTGACGTTTGTTGCTGGATGCAGCAAGAACGCTAAATATTACCGATAAATATGACCAATCTGAGACCGGTACCAGAAAGAGGCTGCATATGAGTTTCAGTGCATCAACTTTATCACTGTTCGATTACGTTCTTCTTTTGAAGTTTTCACGACCTCAAGAGTGTAATTTTTTTGGATTGTTCTAAACTTTATTCAGTTGACAATAAACGTTGTTTGACGAGTTACATACTAAATATCAGACGTTGCGTTATCCATAAGTCTACAAATTGAATCTGCTCGGCGATGCCTGATAAAATACAGCCCAGTCGTCAAGCCACAGATTTAAGCGAGTCTAACATTGAAGGAGGTACATGAAGTTTTTGCTACGCCCAGATCAGAGTAAATACCAACAGCTAAGGTTTTCATATAGCAGGTTGCGGAGGCAATAAACAGTGTATGAGGACAAGCAAATTGTCATTAACAATCAAGGCCTTTAGGAGTATAAAAAAAGTTATGAGAGGTGGTCAATGAATTCTACATCCCAGTAACAATCATCTACCCCTACAGGTTCTGACCGAGGCTATATCACTATTATAGTCTGCACATAAGCAGGACAATACTGCCTAATTACTGGTGACAAACCAGAATATTGTAATCCAGAGCCATGTGACAAGAGGAGACTACCTAGCCACAGGAATTGCATGAGTTGTTGGATTCCGAAATCAAGAATTGGTTGATAATACTTAAATATGTTTAAGGGCGCTGTCCTATATGTTTGATAAGATTTATGGGCGATTTATTCTACTTTAAGCCAGGCTGTTGTTATCGACTCAAAAGGCTGTATTCAATAATGCATTAGAAGGAGTTTCCAATCATATAATGCAGAACTTTGTAGGAAGAGAGGACATCACAGAACAAAAGCGTGCTAATCTTAGAATTTGTTAATGTTAATTGTTAATATGCCAAAAGCTCTGCGAAGCTTACCCGTGATACTTGTGGCGAAGGGCACAGTCACAGTGGTGTCAAACTTTCACCCCTCTCAATACTCGCCTATGCTCCATCTGATTAAACCCACAGATCACTTGAAAATGGTAACTCCAGCCTATGTACGTCACAGCTTGATTATCTTGATCTGCAGGATGCATATCTGAATGTGCTGGTTCACCAGATCGATATGGATTTTAATGCTTGTTCAGATGCAGTCAGGGTGTAGCTGGTTGTTTGAGGGGGGTACTCGCATTAAAGTGCTATATGTATATGTGCCACCAAAAGGGGTCCCAAATTCACCACTTCAGTCTGAAAAGGGGTATGTTATTTTACCCTGTCTGTCTGAAAAGGGGTATACTTTTTTCATTATTTCTGTCTGAAAAGAGGGCCATATTTTTCAAAGCCTGTCTCTAGAGCTCGAGTGATCCAACAATCAGGAGAATAAAGCTGATTTTTTCCTTCTGTAACTTCATTTCAATCATCAAAGTCTATCCCCGGGTGTCAAATTTCCACAGTTTGTCTGAAAGGGGGTAGGCAATAGAATTTATTTCTGTCTGATAAGGGGTAGGGGTTTCAAACAACCAACTACACACCCCTGTCAGTATTTTTTGCAAGTACCCCCCACCTCCACCCGGCAGTCAGCCATGTCCCAGTGCTTCAACATCAGAGACCTAGCAGTCTCCATATGCTCCAGATCAACTGTACAGCTCGGAACACTAATGACTTTCTTGTGACCAAGCAGTAGGCTCAGGTGTTAGTACTCTAATCCCAGTGGTGCAAGACTCTGTTGAGGATGGACCCTAAAGAGCCCGACCACTCTTAAGTGGTGGTCAGAATTTACCAATATAATATGGGTAGCTCCTATCGACCCATCGACTCCACTGATCATATACGCCCTGAAAGTAGGATGGGGAGCCCACATCATAGGCATAAAAGTCAGGGGAGTGGACCTAGTGGGAAGCGAAGCTCCACATGATGCTACGTGGGTAAGAATACAATTGAACAAGCAGCCTGTCGGCTGAGATAGCTCCGCTGTTAGCAATGCACATTTCAATTTCAAGAACAGAAGATAACATTAGAAAATGATCAAAATAATCATTGAAGATTTCACCACGAAATTAACAAAACTGAAAGAGGTCCACATGTACCTACATATGTGTAATATCAAAGCAATCAGACTTGAGGTTTTTAACAAGTCGAAAATATTACTTTTTACCAAAAATGACAAAAATATTCACCAAAATTAGATAATTAAAGATATCATTACAAAATGAATAAATCTGAGAGAGGTCCACATGTAGTACCTATAAATGTAATATCGAATCAATTGGACTTGCGGTTTTTAACAAGAAGTTGAAAATATCACTTTTTACCGAAAATGCCAAAAATATTCATCAAAATTAGAGAATTAAAGATATTACAAAATGAACAAATCTGAGAAAGGTCCACATGTAGTACCTAAATATGTAATATCAAAGCAATTGGACTTGCGGTTTCCGACAAGAAGTCTAAAATATCACTTTTTACCAAAAATGACAAAAATATTCACCGAAGTTAGAGAATTGAAGATATCATCACGAAATGAATAAACCTAAGAGAGGTCTACCCAAAGTACATATACACCAAGTATCAAAGCATTCAGGCTTGTAGTTTTCAAGAAGAAGTCGAAAAAACAAAACATTGACACGGACGACGGACGACGACGGACAATCACTCATATGATAAGCTCCGCTCGACAAAGTCGACAGCGGAGCTAAATAAATAAATACCCACCGCCCCTGGTGCCAAGGGGCACCGGCTTTTAGGGTTGAAATTCAAAACAAACTAGTCTTCAGAAATTATATTTACAGTATTTCAAGAGAAACTGATAGTCAGGGCTTAAAAACAAAAGTTGATAGTAGACATTTCTCAGGCACTTTAACAACTACTAGTATATGGAGTATTGCGTGTGCTCAGTCCCACGTCACAAGTATAGCGCCAACATGGAATTAATTCAACAGTGCCTTTGTTTTTATTTGAACTTCCTGCTACTTTGCCTTTACCTTTATCTTTACAGTTTAAATGGAATATACACAGAAAAATGTCATTTAATCGCTGATTGTAATTAATTACCCATAAAAATGATTGTCTTGATTGACTTTTTGGTATGTTTAGTTTGTTTA